GGAGGGTCCGGAGGGCTCGGAGGACTCGGCCCGGCAGCCGCCGTACCTGGAAGTTGGGGATGCGGCCGCGCACGGGCCGCGGGAAGGCGGCCAGGCCGGAGCTCTCCAGGTGCCGCCACACCTCCTCCCGGATGTCCGCCTTGCAGCGGGCCGCCATCGCCGTGACGTCACCGCCCTGACGTCACCGCCGCCCCTCACGCAGCGGTGACGTCACTACCGCCAAACCACGCCCCCTCGGCTGTCCGCGCGCGGCCTCCGCGCTGGGCACGCCCCCTCTGCGCGTGCGCGGCGGCTACGGCGGCGCGGAGGGCTCAGAAAGGCGCGAGGGCGGAGCGGGCGCGGGTTGGCTGCAATTAAAGATAAAAAATTGCGGATTTCTGCCGCATTCACGCGGATTTACACCCGCATTGTACAAACACCGCGGGTTTCCATCACGCCTCATGCCTGCGGGTAAGATCCCACCCCGCTTTCTGTCAAATAATCCCTCACGTTCATTGTTTTCCATTTAAAACTGGCTGGTGGTGAATCAAGCAGTATCTGGACTCTGCCGGCCTCCCGAAAGATCGCTTCTTGGATAATAAATTAGTTGGATAATAAATTATTCACTGGATAATTAATTAATAAATATTAATAAGTTATTAATATAATAATATAATTATTATATTATTAATAAACATATAACAACTATAATAATAATTGATAAAATATTAATAAATTCTTAATTTGATAATAAATTAATAAATATTAATAAGTTATTAGTATAATGATATCATGATTGTCATTAATAATAAACATATAACAACTATAATAATAATTGATAAAATATTAATAAATTCTTAATTTGATAATAAATTAATAAATATTAATAAGTTATTAGTAGAATAATATAATTATTGTAATTATTAGGAATAAATATATGGCAATTATAATAATTGTTATTAATAAAATGATAATAGATTATTAATTATATAATAAATTATTAATTGGATAAAAAAATTATTAATTGGCTAATAAATGGTTTGTTTGCACGAGTTATTATTTATAGAATTAAGTCATTCTAATAAAAGCACCCCGAAAATCAAAGGAGATTGAGGATTCTGACACTCCTGAGCGGAGCGGGATGGAGGGACATGGAGACGATGAAATGATAAATAAATTTCATTTATTCGTTTATTTAGGTTTATGAAGGTTTATTTGAAATTCCACGGGGGAAAGGGGAAAAGCCTTTGGTGTAGGAATCCTTAAAATCAGGAAATTTTATACAAACTGCAGAGGGCAAACCGCGAATGAAAATAACCAGTAAACTTGAGATTTGTCAGCAGAAAAATGATACAAGAAGCAGAAAAAAAGGACAAATAAAAGGATGGTCGGTGTATGAACGCTGACCATTGTTAGATAAATACCGAGGAAAATGAATAATTGATTGTTGTTAAATAAACAGTAAATAAAAGAGCTCCCAAAGGTACAGAAAAGGACAGCTAGAGATAAATTTAGGGAGTTGGAAGCTCCATAATGGAGCTCTGTGCTCCACTGTTTGTGTCTTAAGGCTTTAAGATGCAAATTAATTGGATGTGATCCATTTTTTATATTATAGATGTTAAATTATGATATTCTATTCTATTCTATTCTATTCTATTCTATTCTATTCTATTCTATTCTATTCTATTCTATTCTATTCTATTCTATATTACTACATATAATATATGCACAATATGTATACAATATATACAATATATACAATACATATAGACAACATATATACAATATATACACACAATATTTACAATATATATGGAATATATAGAATATATACAATATATACACAATATACACAATATATACAATTTATATACAATATACACAATATATCAAATTTATATACAATATACACAATATATACAATATATACAATAGATATACCATACATACAATATAGATATACAATATATACAATACATACAATATAGACAATATAGATATACAATGTATACAACACATACAATACAGACAACATATACACAATATATACACACAATATATACAATATATACAATAGATATACCATACATACAATATATACAATATATACAATATATACAATATATACAATATATACAATATATACAATATAGATATACAATGTATACAACACATACAATACAGAAAACATATACACAATATATACACACAATATATACAATATATACAATATATACAATATAGATATACAATGTATACAACACATACAATACAGGCAACATATACACAATATATACACACAATATACAGAATATATACAATATAACAAAGAAGCACACCAATATTCTAACAGATCAATATACAAACGCATTTCGGCTGCAGCTGAGAGCGGCGCTTCCATCCAGGGGCTCTTTGCCTGTAAATCACATTTAGGGCCCATCTCCGCCTCATTTCCCCGTGCCCTGCTCCAGGGTGGGACCCCCGAGCACTCAGTGCCAGGAAAAGCAGCTGCACGGGACTTTTTGGGTCTTCAGCTCCTCGTTTCATTGTTATCTCATCAAAACTTCAGCGCTGTGTGCAGCCAGACCTTGCATGCCCGAAAACAGCACGGAAATGGCCAACAACCTCGTGCTGGGAGGTGTTTTAAGTCTAATCAAAAATAAACTACCCAATTAAGGAGTGACCCCTAAATTGTTTCCCTTTCTAAGCCAATAACGGACCCCATTTTTTATCAAGCTGGATCAAATGTTTCAGTGAGTTTCAAAGAAGATCTGGGATTTTGAAATAAACAAAACTCAGCTCCGCCTTGAAACACCCAAACTTGTGAAAACACCTAAAAAAAGGGAAGGACAGATGAATCAGATGAATTTAAACCCTGGGAAAAACACAGAAACTCCTTGTGCTGCAGGAATATTCCTTGGAACTGCAGGCTGAACACAGCAGGGCAGCCACAAAAATCACCCAAATGCACCCAAAAAAGAGCTTTAAACCAGCCATAATGCTCTGCTTGAGTCTCAATAGTGAACATTTAAAAAAGGCTACAAATTCTAAAGGGAAACATTATTAATGACGCTGTCATTAATGAAAGGAGTGTGGATTTCCATAAAGAGTATGGGTGAATTTTTGTGTTTGTGAAATAACCCGGTGAAGGAGGCACCTCAAGGCAGGTGGGGTTGGCCTGGGCTGTCCAGCAAGGTCTGGAAAATTGGGATGGACCAGCCCCCTGCAGCCAGAGGTTCCTGCCCTCTCCAAAACTAAAACCAGGGTGCAAAGCCAGGAGAAAATCATGTACTTCAGTGGGTCTTGACTGGATTGGTGCCAGACTGAGCCTTTCCTTTCCTTTCCTTTCCTTTCCTTTCCTTTCCTTTCCTTTCCTTTCCTTTCCTTTCCTTTCCTTTCCTTTCCTTTCCTTTCCTTTCCTTT